CATTTGGCAAGACTAGCAGATGTAGAACATTTATTTCATAGAAAGAATTTCATATTAACCCAACCCGGAAAAAAAACACAATTTTAAAACATTTGCAGTTCCATTACAAATATTGGAAACATATGTGTTTTTGTTTTTCAAGCAATGGAATAACACCCAGCCCAGCAAAGTTAAATGTTAACATTTCCATTACAGCTGCTCAAGAGGATACGTGACCGGATGGTGATGTCTGCAGCAATTCTGCACTTGATTACATTTAAACATGAAAATGGCTGTAAAAGACCTGGTAAGCCAAGAGGGGCTGTTAATTATTAACATCTGGAGTACAAATAAAGTTTTTTTTTTAATCTATATGAAGATCTACTAATCTTGTGCAAACTGCAATTTAAAAAATGCACTTAATGTTCCATTGGAAATGGAAAACCTTAACTTCAAGCTATAGTTGTACTGTTATAATGGCTACTGTTCACCTGTAAAATTGCTTTTCTTGGTGTGCAGTCAGGCCTTACATCCATAACTGTCCTGTGACAAATAGCTGCTTTAGGGCTACATATTATTAGATTCAGGGAAGACGAGTGGCCACAGCGCTCATGCGGCTCCTGTGCTAGCTATCATATGATCGCACAAAACCACCCACGAGCCACAATTAATTTTGCTTTAACAGAGTGCGCAGCAGAGTGAATATTCCAATCAATGTTCATGTACTTTATATCAAACCATTAGGCTCAATATGACTTTCGATCCAGGAGTCTGGCAGTGGATGCGGCAGTGAGGGACAGATGCTGGTTGACCCCTTCTGACACCTTTACATACAAAGCTTTATCCTGAAGTCTGTCAACTCCTTTCATTAAGTGTTGCAGTTATTACTCTTAAGAGCATTCACTTTGCTTTCTGATACATGCTGAACTATATGAACTCTAAGGCTGCCATGAATATTTTCTTTCCTTGCCCATGCAAGGCACAGTATTAATCATACAGTACACATAATCACATTTCTCAAATGACAAACTACAGTTTATAACTATTCTAATCATAATCACCATTTCCATTTCCTTCATATACTGGAAGTGATAAAGGAGAGACTGCACGCCCAAAAAGTGAAGTGACATCATTGAGCTCCTACACACAGAATGTAATATGTAAGAATAAAGAAAAAATTATTAATAGTATTTCCTGCATACTCAGGAAGTAGTAGATCCACCCCCTAGTATTTATTACTCTACTGGGATCTTCTCTTTAGCACTCAGCAAATATTTGACATCAGCACTCCATCTTCTTACTTTATGAAATCTCCATATCCATGCTGCCTTACACATCTTATATATACTGTATATCTATAGTGTAAGTGGGACATGCTCAAGTGGTATGAGCAGCAGTAAACCATGCACAAGAAAGAAAACCCAGGAACAATCCAAGCTAGTTCGTCTTACATTTTTATTCAGCAAAACGCTTTCTATAGCAACACAGCATAAAAACAAATAAAATATCTACTAGCCCGAGCCATGAACTAAACTCAGGGCAGTTCCTGACTAACAGGATTCTACCTAATGAGTTCCCCACAACAAATAGGCAGCACCTGTACCTTTTCTAGTATTCTGTCAGCACTCAGCCTTTTCACATAGCAGCAAGCTCCCATAGCAAAGAGAGTAAGAGAGAGAGAGAGAGTCCCCATAATCAGTCAGCTCACATATATAAAGGCCCAGGACAGCTGAGACTTATAATGAGGTCTGTTAACCCGGTATGATGTGGACATGGGAATGGAGGCTTTATGCTACCCAAAGCTCTACAAAGCCTCTGGGCTCCAGGACCCAAAACAGGAGTTATTAAAATTCTGAGAAAACAAAAAAGTTTGTTTTAGCCACATCAGTCATAAACCCTGCAGCCCCTCACAACGTGTAGGTAGGAAACCTAGGTTACACATATATACTGTCCACAATCCTGTTAGCCAGTGCCTCACAATATTTTGTATATTCCCCATGCTCCAGAATGACATGTTTACAATTTGATAGTACACTGTAATATGTAAGCAGCCGAGAGTTTGTTTACATATTTTCTCCACTGTTATCTTTCTTGTAGAAGTAATTTGAGCAACTGTAAAGCTGACAGATTATTTCTACATGCTGGGGAAGATGTACATAATTATATCACTTGGTAGTGGTGTACCACTATGTGCTTTGGGCTCACTTTGCAATGCTTTAACACGAAGAAAAAACTCTCTAATTTAGCCATGTGGTTGTAATTTTCATATTTCATTGCACTCAGCAGCAAATACCAGTCACTTTTTTTAAAATTAGTATTCTTATCCTGGAGCATTGGTTTTGTGAACTGACCCTTTTGTAAAGTTTTAGGGACTTGACAAGAACGTCAACTGTGATAGCTGACTTTTTGAAGGTGCAAGCTCTGGGGGCCATCATTTTTATCCTTCTTTTACTACTTGGTGAGTGTTTAACGTGGAACAAACATGTGCATATCAAGTGTCAAGACATTGCTCAAAGTAATTGGGCTTAGCCCCTAAAATAAGCAAAAGCAAGCTCTTAGTAACAAAAGAGAAAAAGCATCAGAGTGGTGCACAGAAGAGGCTTCTATGTTTTGTAAAAATAATAGCAGGCACCCGGTAGTGCTTTCTCTTTGAACAACTTTAAGGGATTGATTTATAAAACTCCCGCCCAGGCATAATCTGGGCAAATGCCATTCACAAGGCATTCTGGCCAGTAGATGGAGTTGAGGAGCACAGGCAATTCCTATGCTCCTTGACTCCATCTAGCAGTGAGAATGCCATGCGAAACAGGTTTTATTAATCAACCCCTATGTGTCAGAACTCTAATATGGCTGGTTTGCCTTAAAGAGACACTCTTACTTTGCCCATTCAGGTCTAAGTGGCAATGTTTTTTTAAGGCACTGCTCACACCAGTTATACTTACATTCTTCATCATGTGATGAGTGCTCGGGCCTGGTGACTCGCTACTAGACCTGAACACTGTAAATAGGAGGTGGTCACATGATCTCTCATACCCAAAAGCATCAGGTTTTCTATTCAGTGGCAGCAAAGGGAGGAGCGATGGTATTGTGAGTAAAACCGGGGTGGCGGGAGACTTTTTACAAGCACATTGTCACTTTACCCTGAACAGACAAAGTAACAACATCTTAGTTAGAATAATTAAAATTTGTGTATTGAAGCTGAATCAAATAAGGTAAGAAAATCCCAGGAGGTGGCACAACAGTGTATTTCCGCTTCCCATCGCTTACTGGGCAACAGATCACCAGCTTCTCTGAGCTTATACTTGACATCACCATTGCTAGTTATAAACATCATCATAAAACAAACAAGTTCTTGCCAATGCATATTTTAGGCTAATGATCTCCATTATGTAAACTAAAGTATAAAAAAGCCTTGGGCACTAGCAGAAGGGCTTTGCTAGGCAGGATATTTTTCAGTTGTGTCTTCTGCAAGACTAAACATCACAATGTCTAATGACAATTCTCTAATTACCGGAGGTGACTTACCTGCTGTAAGAATTATATGGATGAGACTGCAAACTACTGCGGCATAAGGCTTTAGCTCGGGAGCATAGAAGATCCCCACAACCTTTGCTGCGAGTAACAATTGACCCAATCAGGCAGCACCGTGGCATAGTGGTTAGCCCTTCTGCCTTGCAGCGCTTGGGGTACCCGGTTCAGATTCTCCAGGTCAGGACACGATCTGCAAGGAGTTTGCATGTTCTCCATGTGTTCGCAAGTGATTCCTCTGGGTACTCCTGTTTCCTCCCATAGTCCAAAAACATGCTGGAAGGTAATTGGCTCCAGTCTAAATTGTCCCTGTATGTATGCATATGAGATAGGGACCTTAGATTGTACGCTCAATGAGGGCAGGAACTAATGAGAATGTGCAGTATGTAAAGCGCTGCATAAACTGTCAGTGCTATATAAATACTAGAGGTGCACCGAAATGGAAATTTTAAAACCGAAACCGAAATAAAAGAAAATTGTCAGCCCGAAACTGAAATTGTTTTTTATTTTTATTTTTTCCAATTCTTAAAATATTTTATTTTAATGTATTTTTTATAAACTTTTTAATTTTGTTATATATTTTTTTATGAATTCATTTCTTATTACATATTTTTATTTTTTACTTTACTTTTAGGGGTTCGGGGAAATATTAGGGGTCTAAGTAGACCCCTGATATTTCCCTTTTAAAATAGAAAAAGAGATTGAGGATCTCTTTTTCTGCAGCCCCTCTTATAAATGAACAGGAATCCTCTATACTGAGTGTTCCTGTTCATTGATAACATGAGGACAGAATATGTTTACTATAACCACAACTATGAATGAACAGGAGGTGATGTAGATCACTTCCCATTCATTCATAATTGAGGATATAGTCAACATGCTATGTCCTCAATTATCTACAATCACTCAGCGATCACTGATCACTGAGTGTTTGCACTTGCTCTCCTTCCTGACATCTGTCACAGGAGGCTGGGCGGGGCGGTGCAGGGAGGAGAGCTCAGCCTCCTGTGACAGCGCGGCCTCTCTCCCTCTCCGCCCACACACCGTTCTGCCTGACTGTGATAGGAGGCTGAGCGGTGTGGGAGGAGAGACACCGGCCAGGGAGAAACCAGGAATGCGCCGATGTATCGGTACAAAAATGGCACTTTCGGCATTTAGCCAAAAGTGCAATTTTCGGCCGATATGTTTCGGCGGCCCATATATATTGGTGCATCCCTAATAAATACCAATAAAAATAAATCAAGACACATGAACAGTCACAGGATTGTAGTTGACATATTGGGTAAGCAGAATTACATACAAAAACTGCCAAAGCTGTACAATGTATTATTTTTGACTGCAATTTTTTACTTACAAAAATAAAGCATTAGAGTTTTAAAAGTATACCATCTGTAATGCATGGTTTGCCATTGTGTCTGCATGCATGGCTTGTTAGATGTCATAATGTATATGTTAAATGAGTCATGTAATGAAGGAGCGAGACTGAACCTTACCTGAAGATATTAACACACCTGTGCTGGCTATGACGTTTATGGTCCCAGATGACAGTGCGGATTCCGCTATGAACTTCACCAAGCGCCCCCTCCTCCTCCTCACAGCTGCTGCACTAGTTTTGTCCCCATGACATGAACACTGATGGGCCTGCACAGAAGAAACAGATACATGTTTGTTTCCACAAAACATAAGTGATCAGTAAACAATACAAGACAATAGTCTTCTTTGGTCTCTTTAGATTTCATTTAAATGATGCCTGACGTACATCAATTGACTGCTTAGATTGTGTTGTAAATGTACTTTCAGGGAAGGGCCATTAGAGTGTTTTAAATAGTTCACAGTAACTTCTTGACCTTTGCACAAAAAGTTGTGGTATGTAAAGTACATATGACAGTGTAAACCAGTGTTCCTCAAACCTAGCAAGACCAGGGCCCAGAAAATTATTTCAAAAAGCTTCCATGCCCCAGTAGTGAAAAAAAGGAATGTTCATACTCATAGAATAAAAGAATGGGAATGCAAAATATGTTTTTAAACATATTATAAGGGAGTAATTTAACACTATATCACAAATTACTGAAGTCTATTTAAAGCCTTCTTTTTGGCAACCATCAGCTTTGAGATTTAAGGCAGAAAGAGAATGTCATGCATACCCAACTAATGTTTACAGTGGGAGGCAGTTAAAAAATTGCACATTGAAGAGAAAAGTTTAAAATCTCACCAAGGCCAAACCAACAATATCCTGCCTGAGCTGTCTGAGATCTCTACAGCCTTCCTCTGAGCTTCTCAGCATCTGCACCTATACAGGTAATGGCATCTCCCAGGTTCCCTCTCCTGAATGGCCCTAAGGCCTTGCCGGCAAACTCCCCTGCCTCCTGCTTGTCTTCCACTGCTTGGGACACACGGTACCACCAGCCCAACCTGCTTGATGTCAGCAAGCAGTGTATACAGATCACCCACACTGGGAATGTACATATTAGAGTTTGTACCCTGCAGGTTTGACAGTGAGGTTCATGCAGGGACTAGAGGAGATACAAGCACCATGGATCGGCAGTGATCTCAAAGATGCAAACTGTCCACAGCAGCACATCTCTTTCATGCTTTGCATGGTCAGTTTACAACACCAAAAAAAGGAGGGGTGGCAGGATCAACCAGATATGAAAAAGTAAAATACTACTATGAGAAAGATATACATGGACAAACATACACATATAGATTTTTTTTTTAAATGGGGGGGGGGCACAAACTTTATTAGCTGGTTAAAGGGGTTCACACCAGCCTGCACGCTAAAATGGTGTGGGCTGGTGTGTGATGTGTAGGGGCAGTGAGGGGCGGTGCAATGTGTTGTTACAACTTATAACACTACTTTTTTTTTCTTCAATTTCTCAAAACTCAAAGCGAAACTAAACCCAGTAGTTAAATGTTAAAATGCATTCAAGTATCTTAACTGTCAACACAAATAAAGCTTATTGCTCATGGGCAAGCGCAGGGCACACAAAGAGAAAGATCCTCAAATCATCTCTGAATTAGTGCTGACACTGTCCTTCCTTCTGGAGGGTGGCTACTTCTGTTCTCCATTGTCCCGATGTGTGTTGTACAGTAGCTGCCGCTCCAAGCTCGCTCCCATGATGGACTAAAATCGCTCCTTTAGGTTACTAATTTGAATCAAGTTTGTAGTCCATCATGGGACATGGAAGTCAGGTCCTGAAGAGAGGACACATAGGGTATTCTTGTCACTGGTTTCAGATTTATGCTTTGAGAGGGTCAGAAGGCAGAGCTGACCCATATGTTGTCATGAGGAGGCTGGGAAAATATATTTGTTGTAAGATAACATCAAACAAGTCATACAGTATTTGGGCAAATATATGAAATGTGCACTAAATTTCTCATGCCCCCAGCAACCAGAAGCTTTGTCTCATTTTCAGACATGAACAACAGAAATTACAGTTGGAAGGTGACCTGGTGCCTTGGGCAACAAGACATTTATCTTACTGCACACTCTTCATACGTCATTCTCCTAGTGAAACCATGGTTCTATACGTGAAATAAGCATTCCATATGATTATTTTTAGCAGCACAAGTATGAAAATAGTTTAGAGCACCATTTAAGGTCAATTTTAACAACAAATGCCCGTGTGCAGTAACCTGTTCATAAAGATGCGCTAATACAGGATTGCTTTGTGAACACTTCTCAGTGAAGGCTCCATTAGGGACTGCGAAATCTAATTAGCTGTTCACAAAGGAACCCAACAAAGATGTGCCAGTAAATCATTTTGTAAATGTGGAAAATTATCAATTAATAGAGATCCACTGAGATGCCTAAAACACAAGAGACCAACTGCAGACCGTAGCTAGTGGATAACATATGGCCGCCAATACAACAGACATACAAGTCTCAGACACGGCGTGCTGTAGGTATGATAAATCAGAACACTTGTTAAATTCATTATTCAGACTGGAAGGGTAAAAGTTGCAGATAGAGACTTTTAAACTCACATAGTTTCAACCTTTACAAAATCTGTGTTCATTCTATAGAAAACACAATCTGGATTGTTCGTCTTGCCTAGTTATGAAAACTAGAAAAAAAGAAAACAGGAACACAAGTGAAGTTGTTGTCCATGGAGACCAATTAATTTTCATCCCATAGGGATAGAGAAAACGCTTGACATGGAAATTGTTACCCATAGTGACCAGTATCCCTGGTAAAAAACAAACAAGGTTACTAGGGGCAACAATTGCAGTTTTCTTTTCTCTTTTTTTAATAGCCCTCCTTCCCTCCTAAAAATAAAAAAAGAGTAAATTTCTCTGTATGCTTATGTGAGTTACTTTTCTCCCACAATCTAAAAACACACTGGCAAGAAAAACAGCTTCCAAGAGAGCAATCTCTTTTTCTTTAGTATATCAACCTCAGAGTGCCTGAAACGAAACACCTTTTGCAGTGGTTTCTCTTTAGAAAATACTTGGTGCTCTGGGTATCCTTTTTCAAGGGAGTATTTTGTATTAAGTGTTTGTTTCCACAGCAAAAAAGGAAAACAGTTTTTAAAACGTATAAAGAATGAAAAACCAAAGTAAAACTCAAAAATATTAAAGAAGAACTCCAGGATTTTATTTTATTCACCCTTGCAGTGGGGCGGCAAAAGTAAACTGCTCCTTTGTGTCTAAGTAAAAAAAAAAAAACATAGATATTCTCACCCAAAGCTCCAACACGGCTTCTTTTTTTTTTAGACTGGTCCTTCCAACATTTCTTCCCCTGCTCTGCAGTGTTCTAAAGGTCTGGTAAATCATCAACGTCTATACACAGTGTATAGAGGTGAGACACTTAGGAAAAATACAATACTTCAGTGAGGGGAGAGAGGCTGGAGGGAGCATCATGACAGCTGGCCAGCTCACAGCTTCGAGTGAGTATATTCTTTGTTTTTTTAGCACCTAGACAGAAACAAGCACTTTGCCCTCGCAGTGCGGGGTAGCCCACTGCAAGGGTTCATGAAAATATTCCTGGAGTTCTTCTTTAAATTAGGGCTGCAACCAACTAATGGATTAAATCGATAATAATCGATTATAAGAATAGTTGTCAACTATTCACATTATTCACATTATTCACTAGTTGGTTAGATCCCCTAGCTCTCTCCTCCATGCTGGGAGTAGGGCACAGCAAGCAGTGGGCGGGTGCAATAGCCAGCTTGCTGTTGGCCATAGCAATTTGAAATGGCAAATAGCAGGCTGGCTATTGCACCAGCCCACTACCTGCTGTGTTTTCATTCAGTTGCCATCTGCAGAATCCACCTACAGTGTGAATGCCCACACTACAACGCACGGTATCGCAATGCTGTGCGTTCCAGTGCAGTTTGATTGCAAAAAAATGTGCATGCTGTTTTATTCTGAAGTACACTTTATGGTTGTAACACTGTATTTGTGTATTTTATTTTAAATTAAGGATGTTATTAAATTGTTATCCGATTAATTGAAAAAATAAAATCGACCAACTAATTGATTATGAAAATAATCCTTAGTTGCAGCCCCTACTCTAAAGCTTAACTATAAACTGCTGGCAATAGTTGCAACAGAACTATATACTGGCAGCCTTAACAAACAATGGCCACTGATGTAAAACCACCTGCAGTCACAGCCATCCTGTTTGAATTAGCAGAAGAGGCTCTGTTATTACAGGTTGTGCGTGCTCTGCTTCTGTCAGAAAAGGCAAGTCTGTTTCCTGAAAATTTGGCAGCATAAAACAAAGCAGCCAGATCAGCAGGTATCAAGTGATCCAGGTATCAATCACTGGAGCTAGACAGAGGTCATGTCAGGTCGTGTCAGGTCTTCATCCAATTTTAGAGGCCAATAAACACTTTTTCAGTAGCTATTGTTAGAAATTCTAAGAAACGAACTGTCAGGCCCCTGACTTAACTGTGGAAGCTGTTGAGCTCTCTCTGAAGAGCAGACACAGTGTGAGGCATCCTGGAACTTGGCAATGGAAGCATCAACCAGATTCTGGAATAGACGTATGAAGAAAGCAAATACTCAGCTTTCAAAAAGTGCAAAACCTGGTAGCTAAAACAAGAAGAAAAAAAAGTCCCCGCTTTTATTTAATCAGAAGTCCAAATCAATTTAATAAAGGGTACATTCAACAACTCTACTGGAAATAAACAAGGAATGTTTTGCACAAAGCAATCCCCGGCCACTCTATGTACCGTTAGCAGAATTTATTTTCTGACACACAAACTTAGTGCACGGCGATGGCACTAATTCCTAGTTAATATTATATGCTGCAAACAAAGAACCATTTATCACTTGCAGTTAGCAGGCAACATGCTAAAGCATGCCATCACCAGCTTTTCTGAGGTCACTTACTGCAATGCTGTGAATAAAGTTGGCGACATAATCTCCTCTGTAGGTTTGCAGCAGAACGTGTCAGTGGAAGTATATACCTGCCTCTACCTGCTAGCTCATACAGCCTGTGAGCATTTTTAGGCATAACCAACATGTAAAGAAAGTAGTGCTGGACTTTCTTATTAGAAAAAACAGAATGCTCAGTAAACTAATTATCATTTAAGTACCATATATTAATTAATTGAAAAAGAAAGATTTTATGCAAGTAAAACCAATAGTATAAAATATTGCTTTATAACTTTAAAAAAATGACACTGGCCAAA